ATGAGCATTTGCTTCTCGCCGGTTGGAGATGCGATGAGGTCGCGCGCCAGGAAATTCCCTGCCTTGGTCAACTGTACGGTCATTGACTGGTTCCAACCCTGGCCTAAGGACGCGCTTCGCTCCGTCGGAGAGAAATTCCTCGCAGAGGTAAGCAGAGTTTGTCGCCCGCCACGAAATGCAGAGGAAAGCGCGTAGAACTCCTGAGAAATAATCACAAAATTGCACGTCAGAATTACGAGTAGAAAATTTAGATTATCTTATCAAAATGTATGAGGAGAAAATGAATCCACGGATTTGCAGCGTGAATTCTGACATTCGCCTGTTCTTATCCCGGGAAGATAGGCTACTGTATTTTCACGCCGACTCTGCTCAGGTAGAGCAGCTTGGCCCGGCTGATGGCGAACTACGTGCCGGCGTTGTCGAGTTCCTACCATTCTCCTTCGAAGCCGTTGGTCATCAGAGTGAGAAGTTCATAGAAGTGGAGCGACGGTTTGCATACACCACCCCTAAGTCGTTCTTGGAATTGATCAAACTATATACGTCTATGCTTGGCAAGAAGCTGCAAGCATTGGAGGATAAGCAGTACAGACTTTCTAATGGGCTTGATAAGCTCAAGGAGACAGCGGAGCAAGTTGCAGGTAAGTGCGGGAAAAATGGCGGGACCGGGAATTGAACCGGGGTTCTTGGATAGGTTTGGAAGAAGTACTGAAGGAGAAGGCTGTGGTGGTTGAACAGAAGGCCAAGGAAGCCGACGCCTTTGCAGAAGAGGTTGGCCGTGAGAAAACTAAAGTCAATGCCGAGGCAGAAAAGGCCAATACGGAATCTATCGCGTGCGAAGAGATCGCGAAAAATGTGAAGATTCAGCAGAAAAGTTGCGAGGAGGATTTGGCCAAAGCTATCCCTTTGGTGGAAAAGGCAGAGGTAATTTAGGAAAATGCAATAACGCGTAAGAATTCAAGATTTCAATGAGTACTGGTTTTAGGCGGCTCTTGACGTGTTGAATAAGAAGGATTTCCAAGAGCTCAAGTCGTTTGCTAAGCCACCAGCAGGCGTGGACAAAGTTTGTGAAGCTTGCATGCATCTTATGGCCGGCATAGACCCTAGCATTGATGTGGACAAGAAGGGGAAGGTTAAGGATCCTTCTTGGAAGGGCGCGACCAAAATGATGGGAAATCCGGAAAAGTTTTTGGAAAGTTTGAAAGCGTTCAAGGGCGAAATTGATGATAGCAACGTGCCGAAGCAGAATATTGAGTACGCCAGGCCGCTCACACAGGCTGAGGATTTCACGGTGGAGAGCATGAAGAAAAAATCTGCGGCAGCTGCTGGCTTGTGCGAATGGGTTCTCAATATCATCATGTAAGTAGCGACAGGGGGGTTTGTTTTCGTGATGGAAAATTTCGAGTTTAGCGGGAAATTTTTCCCGTAAAATGTTGCAAGAGTTGATTTTATGAGAGGACTGTTCTGTGCAGGTACTATGATGTGGTAATAACAGTG